AGTTTGGCAACGGCTGGAGTGGCATATGCAACTTTTTCTACTACTGGTAGAGAAACTAGTGGTTTCGATACATATTGGTGTGACACTGCGCCAGCTGATGAATATTTAGCTCCACTTGCACCAGAGTGTGATGAATAATCCGATAAGGCAATTGCTGGAGCAGCTTGTTCTACCTTAGCAATAGCAGGAGCGAGATATGCAGCTGATAATATAGGTTTTGACACATGCTGATGTGATACTGCACCTGATGAAGAATATTTCTCAAATTTAGTAACTGCTGGAATAGATGAGTATTGTGTTACTACAGGCGCTGCATAGGTTTCAACTTTAGCAGCGACTGGAGCGGCATATGCCACTTTTTCTACTACTGGTAGAGAAACTAGTGGTTTCGATACATATTGGTGCGACACTGCGCCAGCTGATGAATATTTAGCTCCACTTGCACCAGAGTGTGATGAATAATCCGATAAGGCAATTGCTGGAGCAGCTTGTTCTACCTTAGCAATAGCAGGAGCGAGATATGCAGCTGATACTATAGGTTTTGACACATGCTGATGTGATACTGCACCTGATGAAGAATATTTCTCAAATTTAGTAACTGCTGGAATAGATGAGTATTGTGTTACTACAGGCGCAGCATAGGTTTCAACTTTAGCAGCGACTGGAGCGGCATATGCCACTTTTTCAACTACTGGCGCAGAAATGACTGGTTTTGATACATATTGATGAGAAACTGCACCAGCTGATGAATATTTGCCAACAGTTTCGATTTTAGCTAATGCAGGACCTGAAGAATATTGTTCGACAACAGGTGTCGCATAACTTTCTACTTTAGTAACTGCAGGTGCTGTGTAAGCTACTTTAGCTACTGCTGGGGTGATATAAGTCTTAGATTCGACTGGCTTTGATACATACTGATGTGAAACGGCACCAGATGAAGAATATTTGGCACTTTCTCCATAATGTGAAGAAGACTCAGATAAAACAGAAACTTTGGGTAATAAAGGTCCTGATGCGTAGTGAGTAACCGCAGGTGCTGCATAGCTCTGCAATTTAGCAACTGCAGGAGCAACATAGGCAGTTTTTACGACAGCAGGAGCAACATAGGCAGCTTTTAATACAGCAGGAGCAACATAAGCAGATGTTACCGGTTTCGACACATGTTGATGCGAAACAGCACCACTTGACACGTATTTACTAGTGCCTATGTCGGATGAAGACGAATATTGAGTTATAGTTGGAGCAGCATAACTCTCAACCTTGGATATAATTGGTGCAGCATAAGAGACTTTTGCCACCGGTTGTACATAACTGCTTGATATTATGGGTTTTGATACATGCTGATGTGACAATGCACCATATGAACCATATTTCGACAGGCCTTCATCTAGTGAAATTTTGGAATAAGTGGGAGCATAAGAAAGTGCACCTTTTCCCGATAGATCACTTGAAGTAAAAAGTGCATGATTAGCACCTGTTGAAATAGTCGAAAGTTTTCCAACTGCAGGAACTGAATAACCTGATGAGTAGCCATCAGAATATGATGATGAATATGTTTCAATTTTGGATATTGATGGTGAGGTATGAGTATATTTTACAGCAGGTGCTTTATAAGTTTCAATTTTCGAAATAAGTGGAGCTGCTGGTGGTAAATAAGCATTTGATATTTGTGTAATTGACTTGGATATGGTTGGTACGACAACTTTGTTAAATTCGATTCCTGATGGAACAACTGCAGCATATTTTGAAGCTGGTGATTTTTCAGCATATGTTATTCCCGCTTCTCCAGCATATGTTACAGATGGTTTCAATAAATTTGTCGACTCATATGATGAACCACTGGATGAAAATTGAAGTTTACCATGCTCAGCATAAGCGTTCACTGCTGGTGATACTGAGAGTTTTACTACAGGCGGAGGATAAGCATAACCCGCATGTCCATGTATACACGGTGGTAAGGGTATTCCACTTGGATTAGCTAATACTGAGCCTAATATACCCAAAATTGCAATAAAAATCTGTAAAAGTTGGTGCCGTTTAGTATTCTGATAGTAGAAAGCACAAAAGTGGCAAGTAGAACATATTCAGTGTTGATAAAACTTTTGATTCGTTACTCGGTTTGTGTAATCTATATACTTTATCTAGATAATTCATGTTAAATTTGTTAATGTTGCTAAGTGTTATTAAGTGGTAACTAGAATATATTCAGTGTTGACAAAACTTTTGAATCGTTAGTTGGTTTGTGTTTATCTAGATAATTCATGTTGATTTGTTAATATTGCTATAAGAGAATTTTGGAAACCAAATTGATCAAATTATTTAAATATTAAGTTATTTTTATCTAGAGTTTCATTGTTTATGATATAATTAGTTCGAAATCATTATCAGGGAGCAACTCTCTTAAATTTTGAAATAGTTTTATAATATAGATGTGAGGTATAGATACAATATGTTCACGTAATTAACCTACTTTACATATTAAAAGGAACAATACTGGGAAGAACTTTTGGTTCAAGTATTGAAGAGGTTATTAACTACGAAGTTAAACACGTAGCCAGGTCATACCTGCACAATGCCAATAGAAACAATTCTAAAATATATCTTGAAAGTGTGTATAACTTGTTAGAAAAAATGGAGATGACTGTGGAAATGGTTAATTGGTTGGCGTAAAAATGATGTTAAAACTATAGGTGTAGGTAATTAACGCCTTCTGGTTACGGGCTTACAAAGATTTGTAATGTTCCGAATATAAATATAGCCATATAGTAGTAGCTATAATCATTATTAATTAACCATTAAGTTAAATAGAATTTTTAGTCACTTGGTCATATGTTTTGCTCTGTTTAGTCTTTTATATTGAAATCGAAGTTTCTAACAAGCTATTTTTTTTCCTTTAAGTAGTCGTCTTTGTTAGCGTAATTGAATTTAAAAATGATCAGTTTCAACTCTAATGAAATAAGTAGTCGTCTTTATTCTATAATTTTTCATATTTGAATTACAGTATATTGGTTTTTTCTAATAAAGATTTTTATTTAGTATATATTTATTTTTTCTATTAGGATTAAAGTTTTTTTTGGTATTAAGCTAGTTTTTTTTACATATAAAACATCAATTTATTGTGACAAGTTTATTTTTCTTCTACAATGCATATCTATTATTTTGAGAACAACTGTCAAATATTACACGATTTATTGTGTGGGTAATTTTCAAATAAAATTTAGTAAAATTTGCATTTTCATTTTAACTTTTTAATTTATTAGCCGCTGAGTTTGAAATGTGATCATGTTCATTGAACGCCTACTTAAGAGCTTAAGTTTTAATCACATTATGAATTCATCTCAATGGGTACGAGTTCGAGGCTCTTTTATTATTAACATTTTTCGTTGTATTTTCAAGGAAGAAATGATTACGTCAACGACCCCAGCATGATATTTAATTGATGGTATTTATTGCAATAATAACTCACGCTGTTCACTTAAATGATAATAAAATTCATTTAATTGTATAGTTTATTTTATTTTATTATAAGTAGAATATAAAAAAACTAATCATGTTAAAAAAAAGTTATAGAATGATGTACTAGTGATAATAGGCTTTCAGTTTTTTAATTAGAATAAACTTTAATATGAAGATATAATGTAGAGTACTTAATTTATTTTCTTAATAATTCTTTTGAAAAATCATTTATTATTTCAGTCATGTATTGAAAATACTCAAATAAAGGGATTATGATAAGATTATGTTTTATAAAGGATTTCAAACAAAATAAAACCTCAGTTATTTCGAAGTAGATGACTTCTTTTAATTTCCATGAGTAAGGCTTTTAAGAATCAATTGAGTACCCAAATATATTATATCACTCATAAAATTAGTTTCCAACTATCAAGAAACTATCAGTTTTAAATTATATTAGTAAAAATTTCATTATATTTCAATCATTAGTCATTGAGTTACAACTGTTTAAGTAATACCAGTTTTTTGATTAAGCACTGCTTTGCATATGTAGCAATCACTTGAAAAGTGTCTGTCGAAATCAACTATAAGACAGTGGTTTGCTGAACTTAAACGTATAGCAGTACCAATATATGGTCAAACTCTGTAGCAACTTAGGAGAACATCATCAAAGAATATCACAAAAATTATTTTGACGTAAACATATCAAAATGTAGTGATTACATACTATATATACTATTCATTCAGAAATACTATTCAAAAAGTGTACTCAAAATAACGGAAAGAACTAAATCTTAATCGCATACAACCAATTATTGACTCTAATAACTTGATTTCATCTCACCAATTTGGATTTTATAAACATTGTGTCAAAGATCGAGTGCATTGATTCACAGTAGAAATAGCAAAATCATTTGAAGATAAAAACATTTGCTCAACGGTTTCTTTCAACGTTAGGCAGGCATTCGACAAGATAGCATGAAGGACTCATCAACGAACCAATACAGTGCTCTTAAGAAGTTATACTTAACTCAACGATATTTTCACATGAAACAAAGAAATTTATACTCCAACCTGAAAGAAATGAAAGCTGGTCTCCCCCAAGGAAGCATGCTGGGCGCACTTTTATACCCCCTATAGAAAAAAAGATGATAATCAAATTTCAAGTGTCAAGATGAGAGTTGTTTATGGTCCAACTTGCAGCAGAAAAAATTACATAGCAGCGGCAGCTAAGTTAAACAAATTACGGTAGATCTAGTTGAAAAATGAACGAAAAGTTGAAGAATTTCATTCAACAACAGTAAATTAAATCATGTGAACTTCACTAACCAAAAAGCAAATTATCACCCAATATTGCTATTAGGACTTTTAATTCAATAAGCAAATATTGCAATGCAATATCATTCCATGATGCGTTCGAAATGTCTTATTGACCAAGACCTTAACATCTCGACAGTGACTGACAAAATCAAAGGACAAGCGGAAAATTCTTCTTAGCGGTTCCAGATGCATGTAAACGAAAGGTAAGCGGGCTTGTCAATACCAAAGCTTTACTCCGACGACTGAAGCCATATCTAGTAATTATCATTTAATTTAAAGCAATGATATGTGATGGTATCAAAAGCAAACAGATGGCAGGTACGCCGACTTAAGAAGTTTAATACTTTAAGTACAAGATAAAGTATTAAAATGAAGACCACAGATTGACCCAGTGAACATAACTAAGATGTTCACAAAGAGAAGGGAGTAAAGATACCAACAGGCACTAACTCCAATCAACCAAACAACATCAGTAGTAAAAGGATTGCTGCGATTACAGAAACTAGAATGAAACCAACATGTTTATGACTTCGATTGCTATTTAAATCTGCTTAAGCAGAACAAACAGAAATTTTTGCGTGTATATATAACAATTAAAAAATCTCTATCCATCATCAGATACCAAAATCAGAACAGCATATGCATATTCACATATTAACTGGCATATTTGAGCCGTTAAGGTTTGTGTTTTAGAAGTTGTAAAATATGATATTGATGGAATACCTTGACAAACGAAGACATATGGGAAGAAATTTTATATTGAACTAGCAAAAAGGTGGCAAAAACACAAAGTGCTTTTGCACAAAGATTACGCACCATGCAACAAGTCATTCTTTATAATTTTTATATCAATAATAATTCGAATTGTTTTTCCATTCAATGAAATCATCACACTAAGCTTCCGACTACTACATACATGACACAGATTTCACTCGAACAATGAGTTCTCTTATTGTTCGTAATAAAGGACTATGGTCTAATTAAATAACTTAAACTTTGAACAATGAGTTCTCTTATTGTCCGTAATAAATGTCTATGATCTAATTAAATAACTTAAACTTTGATTGTAACTACTACCAATATTTTAAACCGCATAATTTTGTAAAATTTAAAATTTTTAAAAAACATTTTTATCTAAAATATCCTTTGGATAAATATCCTTGGATAAATACCAATATTAATCTACTTTATCCATTAATTAGAAATATATTTAGTACATTAAAATACAATTTGAGAAATAAACAGCACAAAAATATGCAATAAAAAAAAACTAAAGAATAAGTCATAATTTCTTTAAGTAATTTAGTCAGACATTGAAAGTATCCTAATTAATTAAAGATATAATTGCTCCTCAGTACGCCTCAGTAAAATCATTTTCAATGCTGAAATTGACTAAAAGCTTTCGAATTTAGTTCCAATACCAAAATAGAAAGAAACGAAATCAATGTCTTATATATCCTTCATAAATTTTCAATTATTTTATTTCAAAATTTTTTTATGTATTTAATTTATATAGTTATGCATTCTTTTGAGATTGTAATTAACAGAAGTGATTTTGCAATGTCTTGCCTTTAATATAAAAAAATATAAAAAATGTTAATGCAGCTTTGTTGTATCTAAATACTTTAATAAATACCAAATAAGTAAAAAGAGTGAGTTCTTTCGTGTGATTCCTAATATGGGTGTTGACGAGATTCCAGTTTGAATACTTAATGGAACGGATTTCTTCTTGACCAAATGAGCAATTGATTTTCTTGACTAAATGGCAAGTTCAAGTTTTAGTAAAAAAACTTACTTATAAGTATTTATAATGAAAATATACTAAGTATTTTATAAAGTCATGGATTTTGTTATTTTGTTTATAATTACTTTTGATTTTTCTAGTAATTAACGGATTGTTTGTTAATAAGATGGATGGATGTATTGTGTTCTAATATTATAATATTTATTCTACTTGCCAGTAAGGATAGTAATTTTATTTAATTATAAAATATAATAATATAATATAAAACTTAAATTAATCAATATAAAATCGAAATTAAGTAATTGATTTAATAATAAATAATACTTATCAACTAAAGTGCAGTCAACTCTTAAATTAGTTAAGATTTCTAAATTTATATTTACTATCACAAATTAGTTTATTTATTTTTAATAATTTTAGATGTATATTGTATATATATAACATAAAATATATATTGTGTATTCAAATGTAATATAGAGCATAATATAGAGCATATAACGTACGCATGTATTTAATATTTCTCAAGTAAAATATGAAGCGTTGGAAAGGTGAAATTTAAATGCCTTAAAGCATTGTATCAGAATGGTCTCATTTCTTAGGGTCTCTTGTACTGCAGTGAATTTACTTCTTCCTAACATCTAGTTTTATTGAGATATAGATGTATTGACTGAATAATAATTAAGTGATTAATTACGAATCAATGATATTTATAAACTAAAGGAATTTTTGTGCTTAGCAAATGTTGAAATTGAATCAAGTTAATTAAATTGAAAAATCTCTTAATATATGTGGGTCATGTTGTAGTGGACTTGTTCAACTTTTATATATAGTGACGTATTATAGAGTAAGGATATCTTTCAAGTAAAAATTATATTCGATTGAAAACTTAATAAAAAATTAAATCATAAAAAAAGGTATCCATGTAATTTATAGAAATACATAAATACCTATTAATAAACGTGGAATGTAGAAACCATTTTAGTTATGGAATTTGGGGTTATATACTATAGATAACAGTGCGTCTTTAATAGTGAGTCTGTATTAGAACAATTGTTATCTAACTAAAATACATAACAAGATATTTGTAGATTTATTAAATTTATACCTTAATCAAAATAAAACAAATATTCAAATAGAAAATAGAATAGAATATAACTAGTCTCAATTTAGGAGGTTAGAGATATGTTCATGAAATATATTTTTTTTGAAAGATAAAATATTCAATCAACAAATAAAAATGAAATTTAAGTTATAGAAATTATAGAAATTAAAATTGAAAAATTTTTTTTAAATCAAAATTAAATAAAAAATTAAATTTTAAAATGTAATTACATATTTATGTATCTAAACCTAAGAAAAT